AAATGAGAGGGCAAATTTTTGGGTACAACACACTCGGTCTCTCGATTTGGGTTAGAAATAACTTAGGTTGTGAGTGATACGTAGTGACATTGATGATTATTGTTAGGTTGAATGTAATTGGTTGATAGATTTAAGTCTGTGATGAGTAGATTATATGCAGGCTTGATAAGTTCTTCCCTAGTTTTTTCTTTTGTTTACATTTATTTTCTATTGATACCTTTCTGTTCAACCCATATATTCCTAAACTCATTAACGAATGATTTGTTTAACGATAATTCAATAACCAATCTCTGTGAACACGATACCATATAACCTAAATATCATCCGATAAATTAATGGCACCGTTGTCGGGGATTGGTGTCTATTGATTTTGCATTGCGATAATTCTTTTGTTTTTGAGTTTTGTAATTAATGTATATGTTGTATAGAAATTGTATATTAACTTGTATATGATATTTGTGCATATATGTGTTTTCATGTATTGTTATAAATTGTCTCGTTTTTGTAACGTTTGTTGTGTTATTGTTAGGATAAATAAATTCTTTAGGTTTGCACAGTGTGATAATACCATGGCATAACGAGAAGAGGTTACTAGCTTGCACAATAAAGGAGTCGAGCTTACGACGTAAAATAAGCATGTTTGTTTTTATTTGTTTATGTGTGCGGTGACTTGTGTTTTAACATTGAAACAAGGTTATGTTCTGAAATTCAAATCTTCACTTTTCAACTTGTTAATTCATTTTCAACCGGTTTTCATATCTTTATTTGTATTTGTTTTATTATGTCAATTTGTATTTTCCGAAAGCTTGTCGTGTTTAGCTTGAGGAGTTTTGTTCGTTGTAAATTTTGTACATTGAAATTTTGTACGAGTATTATTTTTCTAATTCTTTTGTTGTTGTTTAGACTCAAGTTTTGGTCAGGTAACTTGTAGAATATTGAGGTGATTTGTCAAGTTTGATCATTTCGACTTGCGAATGCGTGGTAATGGTTTTTGTTAAAGTTTTGTACACGTTCGAGGTATGTGTTTATCGTTTTCTATACTTTAGCATATTCATGATACTTAGACTTTTTACAACTTTTATGCCATTCATTCTTTTGTATACTTGTTAATTTGTGAATCACTTTAGTTCCTACCCTTTTTGTGAGGTAGCTATCCATTGTGCATATATGTTGGAGGCCACAATTCTTTTTTTAGCTGGATTTTATTATGCTTAATATTTTGTTTTGTGTTGATTGTATGAATACAAGAAAAGGATCAAGGAATTTTTGTTTCATTGTGAGCATAACTACCTAGCCAAATAGTTAATTCACCTTGTGAGTATATGATCATTAGTAACCCCTTTGAGCTTTTTGTCGATATCCATGTTGTATTTTCTAAATGCTTATCTATGAGTGTTTAGTCCCCCTTTTTGCATGGATCTTGAATCGTTATTTTCTTGAACCCTCAACCTTTGTTTTGATTTGAATTTTTACCTTGCCTTAGAAAGTATGGAGTATTCACTAATATGTTGGTTGAACTCAAGTTGGGGAGAAAAATGATTGTGTATTTATTGGTTGATTGCTATGAGGTTGAAAACAAAAAGAGAAAGAAAAAAATGTGTGAAAAAGAAGTGATAGAAAAAGAAATAAAAAAATAGAAAAACTTTGAAAAAGAAAAATAAAAAAAGAGTATGGAATAATGTTATGTTAATAAGTGATGTTTGATGGTGTGAAACTTGTGGTAAAGAAGAATTTTGATTGAAATTCTATAGTTTGAAACTTTGTGGAAGTAATTACTCCCTTAGGTTTAGGCAAGTTTTTGTTTCGATTAACTTTAGGAATTATCACTTGTTTGTTAACCAAGCCACATTACAACCTTGAAAAACCCATGAGATTCTTGCTTTTATATTTTCAATGTAAAATTTTAGATGAGTGCATAATTTAGTCTATTGTTTGTAAGATTGTTGGATGAGTGAAAATACTCTATTTTTTGTATTTTTCATCTACCGGTGATTGTGTTTGCTAGATTTGATTCATTTGTGAACTAGTATTATTTTATAATATTTGGCATGAATTTTGTATTTGGAATTTGTTTCGTGTTTATGTTATAGTAGTAGTTTAGTGGTAAGTGTTTACTTTGTGTGTACTGTTTTTCATTTGAACCATTGCATTTAGTTTCCATTTTCAAAAACTTGATGATTCGTGATTCTTTGATTATCATTCTTAGTTTCTTTGGGTTATTTGACTTTGTTTTAGGACAAACAATGATCCAAATTAAAGAGAGTTTGATAAGTGCAAAAGTGTAGTTATTTTGTATATACTTTTTGTTGCACTTATCGATTCTTTATTGTTAATATCAGTTGAATAACCCTACTTTTTTTTTGTAAATACGTCTAATTGTGTTTTGTGTATATGTTGTATCGTTTGATTAAGTTTTGTATATGTTTTTGTAGGTATTTGAGCATTTGTGGAGCAAGAGGAATAAATCTCCAAGATGTATTTTTGGATCAATAAAGGAATAAGGAGAAAGATTGAAGCCATTGGAAGTTATGTAGGAAAGCAACAGAAGTTGTTGGACTGTCATGGATTGTCGGGCGAAAGTTCCTGTCGTCGTGCGAAATTTGTAGGCCAAATTTCCTTGTTTCCTCTGCCTTGCTTCATGTCTAGTTCTCCAGGAGAAAATAAAGAGAGTCGCAAGGAAAAGCTTTGTGTCGCCGACGACGATACATATTTTTGATTAGTTGAGACGTGACTTATCTTGGGCCAAGTGTATAGAAGGAATCGTTGGGCGATGCTTTTATGTCACCGGACGATTCTCGCGGAACATAATTTCTTTATACTTTCATTTTGTTTCATTTTGGAGGGATGTTTTGGGGGGTTATTTTTGTTCTCTCAGCTCCATCAACCTCATTTTTATAGTGGATTAGCTTAGATAACAACACTAGGGATTTCATACGGATGATCCGAGATAGATTATTCGTCGACCGGCTCTGACAATCTGAAAGATTTGTGGTTTATCTCTTCTCCTCTCTATGTATTTCTCTTTTCTTAGGTTTTGTATGTATTTTACTTTGAACTCATGTATATTTATTCCATGGCGTTATATTAAATTTGTTTTACAAATCTTTGTGGATTGTTGTCCTGGATTTTTGCTCTGTGCTAGGGATTTGAGTTTTTATAGACATATACTGCTTAGATTCTTATCTAAGATGATTATCTGTTAGTTTTTCACTTTAGAGATAGATTTAGAGCTGACATCTACTTGGGTATCAGAGCTTAATGCCTCTGTGTGGTTGTGTTGTGCTGAGATATCGTCAGTACAATTACATAGTTGTCTTATGTGTTGTTGAGGAGGTAGGGAGATCATTTTTTGGTGATACAGTCGGACTCTCGATTTGGGTTAGAAATGATTTAGGTTGTGAGTGATACGTAGTGACATTAATGAGTATTGTTAGGTTGAATGTAACTGGTCGGTAGATTTAAGTCTGTGATGAGTAGATTATATGCAGGCTTGATAAGTTCTTCCTTAGTTTTTTCTTTTGTTTACATTTATTTTCTGTTGATACTTTTCTGTTCAACCCATTTATCCCTAAACTCATTCACGAATGATTTGTCAAATGGCAATTCATTAACCAATCTTTATGGACACGATACGATATAACTTAAATATCACCCGATAAATTAATAAGATACTTTTTGCTTGCCGCTATATACCGCAACAACAGAGTCTTCAGAACTTTTCACACAAAACCTTGTTCTTTAGAGTCTTCAGCACTTGGTTGTAAGAACTTGCTTTTCTTCTGATCATCAGAACTTGTTCAGCAGAACCTCGTCTTCATAATCTTCAGAACTTGTAACACAAAAGTAAAGCTTTAGAAGGCCTCCAAAGCTAAACCATAAAGTCACGATCAGGACTTCTTGTACTAACGTTCCTTAGACACGTTGCAGAAGATCAATTCAGAACCTTGACTTTAAAGAAACATGTAATCACATGTTTTCTTCTAGAATGTATGTTGAGAACCTAATGATGTCACCCGCCTTGTACTAGAGTCAGAACATTATAGCAGCAACTACACACTAGACAAAATCATTAGTGTATACAATTATTCTCTAAGATAACATATAAAGTTATCATCAAAATCTCAAGGCCAAATATAAAAAACACTTCTTGTTCTTACAGATCGGATGCTATCATCAAAGATGACTGGATAGTGTCACTAAAGATTTCACCAAACACTGATTTATATAAGGTCTTGTCATCATCACAACCACCACGACCATCTAACGATTAGAGTTAACTATACTTACAAGCACATTGATCCACATAATCCTCCACAACAAAAATGATTTATTTGATCCTAACACAAAACCTCAACCTTAGAATTATGTTTGAAAATCTATCTATTAGAAAAGATCAAGTTCTTCTTATAGATTATTTGTCATAACTTTGTATCTACTATCTCTCGCTTTATCATCACAACATGGTACCCTCAACTATGTGCTCTAGATGTAATATACAAAATCTTCAGGCTAGACATTTTTGGATTCCAAGAGTACAAATAAAATACATGAACAACATACAAAAACTAAATTTTCAACTAAGAAACTAAAACTTCTGTTCAGAAAAACAAATTTAAAACTATGTTAGACCGATCCCTCCTTGTTCTTTATATGATAAAAGGAAATCATATACACATTCTTTCCCCAAAAAAACTAATCCTTCATTACACCAAAAAAATAAAAATCTTTTAAGCATGTCATCTGCATTCCTTTTCTTGTGAATTATTTATGGAGCAAACATTCACTCAAAGTTCTTTACATATAAAACTTGTTTTTTACCATAAAATTTCTTGTGTATTTATTACTTTGAAGAATATGAATAGTTTATATTTCAAATCAGTCCCACATAATATTATTATAATATTATTATAGATGATAAGATAAAATTTATTTTCTTCTTCATATTTTTCCTTCACATACATGGTCAACAAAGTTGTGTAATAAATTGTTGACTTTGTTGCTTAATTATTTGAAGGAGGATGTACTTTGGGTAGTGAATAGTCCAAGTTAAATTCAGAAATTTTCTCCCTAGGTATTTTGCAAGAAACTTTTCTATGAACTGAGCCAAGAGTTTTGGTTTCTGAAGCAACCGAGTCTTTTCTCATAACATTGAGCACCTTTTGGTTATTGTATCTTTCTTTTCTTGACTTTTGATTATTAACCAACAATGTTTTCATCTTTTTTCCTTGATTCATCGTTGGAAAGTTATTTGGTAAGGATTCAAAACCTTTTATTTCATCAGCCTGCACAAGAATAAGAAATAAAAACTAGCATGAAGCACATAATACATTATTATTAGTTAAAATAAAGAGTTAAATATATTTTTGGTTTTTTTAAATATCTCATATTTAATTTTAGTTTTTTAAAAAAATTTCATCAAAAAATATTCTTTTTAAAAATTTAAATTTAAATTTGTAGCCCGTCTTACAATTTAGCGACAGTTTTTTCAATTTATTGACAGAATTAACGATGGTTGTAACAATAATTTTTTATTTAACGACCGAATGAACGACCGTTTTAATATGAGAGATCAAAAATAAAAAAAAAACTATGTTTTGAAGAAATTTTTTAGAGAACCTAAATGTTGAATATGAGATATTTAAGAAAATTAAAAGTTTAACCCTAAAACATATACTAGTCATATTTATAATATAAAAATAACTATATGTTAAACATATTAAAATGTTTTAGTTGGGGCAAACCTTGATAGAAAAATGTGGTTTATTCACCAACTTGATATCTTGAGAAGTGCTGGTGAGAGGCAGTGTAGTGCAATATGCATTGTAGGAAATGGCCAGAAAGAAAATAAGGTATGTGACTGACATTCTAAGAGACAAATAGATAGTATACTCTTTTGAGAACAATTGTATTGAGAGATCAATGAGTATTTGTAGAAACAAATAAGTAAGTGTGCATTAAATGCAATGACTTGAGGAGTAAGACGTTATGTTGCATAACATGGAGTTGTAGGGGAAAAAACAAATGGTAAGAAAAAATCAAAGATATGATGGCTCCACTCTTGTCTCTTCCTTATTCATGTATATCAATTTAATGGGTCCCAAATGAGAAAAGAGAAGAAATAAAGTCATCTATAATAGTATGATTAACCGAATTATCAACTCTTACTAAGTTGAAAATAAATATAAAAAAATATTTTAAGAAATTAAACATATTGGTGCATTTTCAGAATAAAATTTATATGAGATCTTTATTATTTTATTAAAATATTTTTAGATAAAAATTATGGAAAAATGAATAAATATTTTATTTCTATCGATAAATTTTAAATATTTCAAGAGTTTAATAGACATATACTTTCGTCCAATTAAAAAACTAACAATTTATCATGTCATCATATAATAACTTTAAAATATAAATATAATTTGACATAATATACGTCGGTGATTGATTGTCAGTATAAAATTATATATATTATATATATATATATATATATATATATATATATATATATATATATATATATATATATATATATATATATATATATATATATATATATATATATATATATATATATATATATATATATATATATATATATATATATATATATATATATATATATATATATATATATATATATATATATATATATATATATATTATTTTATCATATTTAAATATTATAATTAAATATTTTTTTAATTTTACTTTTTATTAATTTTTTTACAATCAAGAGTTCAAGACCCATGAACATACATTACATTTTATTGAAATTTTCAAAAATAAAGATAAGAACATACTAACATCCCATTAAAACTAAACATCTTAATTATGTTGTCATCTTTATAGTCTCTCTTACTCTAAGGAGGGACTAGGCCAAAACTCTAATAGAAACTAAAACAAACATTAAGAGAAGTAGTAAACAAGGAAACAATACTTATCCCTATAGAACTCTTCCTTAATACAAGACGGGAGAAAATTCCACAAAGTAAACTCATTTACCGAGTGATCAAGAGAAGCCAACTTATCCCCACAAGCATTCCCTTCTCTAAAAGTGTGCGGATGAGCCATAATAGTGCCAACAAAACACTTATCCCATTTGTTTCTCAAATCCCAAGGAATTATATTCAGATTTTGAAAAAGTCGTCATAACTATTTAAGAATCACTCCCATATATTAAATCAACCTTACAACTATGATACTCCATAATAACCTCTTGAAAATCAGTGTTATGATAAAAACCAAATTATTTACAAAAAGATTGGGGTGATGAGAAAAGAAGTCTTTTTTATGTTTGTACTCCCCAAGACTTCAAGAGTCATGTGCCTACGTATCCTCATAGTGCAATGAGGAAGTCAGAGCCTCGTAGTTTATGGTAAAAATAACCACGAAAGTTTGTTAATTGATTTTAATTTAAAAAGACATTTTATTGTATTGTAGTAGAAAACATAACTTACTACCCACAAGTATGAGAAAGAAGCATTTGAATCATCTTGATATGATATGGAGAACTTTTACTTGGACTTTCTCACAAGCACGTCTTAACATTCAAGTGGAAAATGACAATCACTTCACAACATATTGTAGAAGTATAGTGATTTACATCACTACTAGAATATACTAATATTCAATATTTGGAAAAAAATTTAAAAGAAAAGTGCACAAAGGAACAAATACAATTTGACAAGGTTTGTCATTTTTAAAAGTTTTGAAAAGAGTTTGAATATGATGAAGTGTTTTAGAATTTATTAAGAGAAATATTTTTGGAATCACTTGACAATGTCAAGGTTTATTAAGAAAGGTTTGAAGTTGAAATATGAAGTTTTGATAATAGGGAGGAGTTTTGAAACTTGAAGAAATGGGTAGGAGATGAAGAGACTATTCTCAAGCATAAAGTAAATATCATGAAATAAAAGGTCTCATTGTAAGGTAGCCCAAGAGAAAAAGCCTTTGTATGTGTTAGTGTACTAACTACAAGATGGAGCAAGCATTTGACATTGGCCAAAATGAATATTTCTTTCTCTTTGAATTAAGCTAAAAGATAAGCAAATTACAGAAGCAAGCACATAAGCAGATGAATCATCAAGGATAAGCAATGGAAGCAGATGAACACCAAAAGATCCAGATGAAAGTCAAGGTCACATAGCCATAAATAGAATTCTAAGTCTTCAACCAAAGATCAAAGTTTCTCAGAATAAGGATAAGTCTTGAATTGAAGTTTAAATGTCTAGATGAATCATAAGATCTCAGATACAATCACTCCAAGCAAAGGAAAACACTGAGTCCTAGGGTCCAAAGTCCAAAATACTCCTCAAGCAAGGGATGGTAACACAAAGTCCACAAGATTAGAAGAAAGTTGTTTTTAGGATTTTAGCCATTTTATTAATGTTTTTGTTTTTTTGAAGCAATAAGGCACGAGAAGAAAAAAGATATAAAGTAAATGGAAAAGTAAAAGGAAATAATGTAAATGACATGGCTTAAAATTAAAGAGCATAAATTTAAGTGACATAAAAATTAAATGTTAGATGTTAGCACAGTTAATATGCCAATGTTAGTATTAATGAGGAATTAACTGAGTCAGGACAATTTAGTGTCATATTAAGCAATCATAAGAAGACTTATGTAGAAGTCACACTTATGTGAGGCTGATCAATAGAAATTTATTTGTTAAACATGTTAGATGGATGATACAAAATTATTCTCCTAAAACAATGTCACACAATCATAAAAGAAGTAAAAAGAAGACGATGAAGATGGAGAAATCATCAAACACAATTGAAATGTGACAAAAGGTAATCTATCATCAACTTCAATCATTCAAACTCACAATGCAATAGAATAAACTTATCATTAATCCAAAAGTACCAAAAATATTATCATTTAAATGATAAGTTTGAAATGATAAAAATTCATGCAACGAAAACATCATTCAAAGACCAATTAAAATTGATGAAGCATTGATCAACCAAGTCAAAATCCAAGATCCACAAAAGTCAAACAAAAATAGATCAAAAATATGATTAAAAATGGTTTTTAAATTGATTTAAAATAAAAATTAAATGGAAAATTTCAAAGAGGCATCAAAACATCAAATAAATTGCCAAAAAAATTTGACAAACTCATAAATATTACAAGTAATTAGATCTCAAAAGTTGAAATGAAAAATATTTCAAAATGTATGAAAATGAATTTTTAAGCGAAAATTAAAAAGAAAATTGAAAGAAAATAGCAAAGATGCATAAAATTATTTTTAAATTCTGGAAAAAAAATTGGTAGAAATTTTTTTTATGATTTATGAAAACAAATTGGAATAAAAAATGTCAAGAGGTCTATTTAAAATAAATCAGAAAAGAAAAAGAAATTATTAACAAAAAGAACAAGGAAAAAGGCCAACGACTAGCTGTGTGACGCCTTCTAATTGGCAAGGGTTCAAATTTCCCATCACCGTGCACGAAGAGCTTCATCGTCTTCAACGTTCTTCGATTTTTGCAGGTTCATGAACTATGAGTATCAAGCTCAAACACCATATGATTAAGCTTCTACTCATGTCATCATTCATATCTCTATGCATTAGAGCCATTGATCAGATCTAAGCAGAGAGAATTTGCTCAGAAACATAGAAAATCCTAATGCTTCAAAGTAAAATTAAATGACAAATACAAATAATAAATTTCAGGTGAGTGAGGGCTTTTGATTAGATAATCAAGACAAAGAGTGTGGTAACTTGTTTGTTCAGAATATTAAGTCATATCTATATTTCCAATTGAAGCTTCGAAGGTCAACAATGGTGAAATCGAGTTGAAGGTTGGAGAAGGTTGCAAGATTCTGTAATGGTTCAATTATCTTCAGACAATGCCAATGAGTGATTCTGGGTAGAGATTTGAAGTTAAAATATGCTTAATTTGGAAGGAGGGTTTCTAGATTTTGAATCTTTTCGGAAGTGAAAATGGAAGAGGTTTTGTGGTTGTTCAAGTTTGCAAATGAAGGAAAAATGCTCCTCTATTTATAGGAAACATAATGAGGTCATGGTATGTGTGAAACCATATCTAGAACGTGTGAACTAAGTTGGAATTTCTTGTTTTGCAATCTGTGTGGGAGTGAGTGCGAAATGCGTGAGATGAGCATGGAATATGGTCGTTTAGGACTCGAATCTATGATTTTTGAAAGGACAAACAAGTTAAACATGTGCAAGGTGGTCCTAAGTGAAGTTCTGGTTGATTTTAGGTTTCAGATCATGCATAAAATACAGAGTCCATGGCACCATGTTGGAGCTCAGGCCAAACCAGATCCACTTGTGCATTTTGAAATATTCTTCGTGCCAAATGATCTCCCCATGATGAAGAAGAAAATGCAAAAATAATCACATCAAAAGGACGATTGAGTTGAAAATGGCATGGATGACAAGTTCAGGTCATGACCTGAATTCTAGGTCAGGCAATAAGTCAAACAAAGTTTTGGACCAGCTTTTGATCACACGTGGGCATCTTATCCAGTTAAAAAATTGATGGTCTTATTGGAAAAATTGATGTTTTACCCTTGAAACAAAGTTGTGGAGGAGTTCAAATTGGACATTTGGTTCGAAGTAGATTCTAAAAATGTTAAAAATGAGAGAGTTATAGTGTTTGGATCTAGTGACACGCCATACTTGATTTTAGGTTAACCAAATATGTACCACTTGTTATTTTTGCTATTTTCATGCATCTAAAGGATCAATGATAAACACTTGAACATCAAATGGAGGAATCTTGATTTTCCCTTGAATAATCTGGATAATTTCTTGAGAATTTGATGGAGATGGCATGTAAATAAACACATGAACCATTCTTGAATCAAATTTGACATCATGCACCAAACTTGAACT